TCTTAGTGTCTTAAATTTCTTTTATATTTAGTTCCATGTTTTAATATCTAACATAGTGGATAATTTAAAGCACATTAATACCTGGCTTTGAGAAATATGTTTGTATTATTTAAAATATGAATAATGCATCCTTCTGGAATTTCAGTATGTTGAATAAAGGAATAAGACCATACCAGGAAAATCTAAGTGAAGAAGAGCCAAATAACTGTCTTTTGAATTTTTCCTGGTTACTTGCACGCCTTCTGCAGAATTAAATATGGCCAGTTCATTCCACAGAGTAACGATTTAGCAAATTAGGAAACTGAGCACTGGAGGGTTGAATTGTCTAAATTCACAGCACTCGCAAGTGACCTCTGTTCAATTTAAATCCAAGCCTCACTGACTGAAATTTGTGTTCCTGAGCATCCTGTTGTATAATTGTATAAAGATCTTTTAGTTCTCTCTTCTGGTAGTTTTCAGGGTGTGGTCTTTAGTCCACTTACTTTCAGAACATTATGGGAAAGTGATAAAATTTGGATTGCTCTCTGGGACTCTCTCAGTGGTGATGAATCAGTATCAATGCTATGAGCGTTTTTAACAGCTTCCTTGGTGATTCTGGAGCATAACATAAATTGAAAAACATGGCTCTCCACTATCTTATTCCTCCATCTAAGGGGCAATATAGCAAGTCCTTAGTGCTGGATGTTGGCTCAGAGTTGAAATACAAAGCTCTGTCCTGTAAGACAGAATCATAAGGGAAAGTTGCTGCTGCACACCTGGAGACCTCTCCGAGAACGCTGATCTCAGCCGGCTGAGAATGAGGATGGATCGCAGCATTGGGACCCTGTATTTCTTTCTCTGTCATACATGAAATATAATAGATTATTTAAGATCAGCTATTTGAACCCAGAGCCAAAGTCTAAATTCAACAATGAAGCTCCAAATATATCATATATGTAAATATATATATATATATGTGTGTGTGTGTGTGTGTGTGTGTATGCTTGCTATACGTCTAAGATTATTAGTCTATGAGAAAGAAAAAATACATAAATAAGAACTTGGTGTATATGTATATATATATATATATATATATATATATATACACACACACATATATGTATGTATACCCATATATATATTTAAATTTACTATACACACACATACATATGCTTAAGATTATTTAGTCAATGAGAGAAAAAGAAAAAATATGTAAGATTAGGCTATACATACATGTTTAAATTTGCTATAAGCCCACAGCAAGTTCTTAGTTATATATTTTTAGTAGGATTTGATACCACTGAGTACATCCCTGATATTTTCATTAGCCTTCTGTATCTTGTTCTAATGTCCCTTTTACTCTGCTACCATTGCTCCTCAGGTTTCTCTGTTAAGTTTTTTTGCTGCCTGTAGTTTCTTGAGTAGCTGCCTGCCACCCTTTTTCTTCTGGAAGATGTCATTATCTTCACCTACTGAGGCCTTACAAATTATTCCTGTTCCCTACCTCCAGTTCTCTTCTGAATTTTAGTACCTTATTTTATCACTCTTACTCTAAATCCATACAAGCCTGTATATCCTTCAGGCCTTAAATTTAGCATCCCTAGGACTAAACTCATTATCTTCTCAGCCCAAACTTTCCCTGTCGCCATTTTCCTCTCGTGCAGTTAGTGCTGTCATTACTCAGTCTACTGAACTTGAAACTTCAAAATTGCATTCACTTCCCTTTCCTCACTACTTGCATTCAGCAGTCAGTCATCAAATCTTGTCATTTTCTTTTCAGAAACTCCATTTGAATCGATCATTCTTTTCTTCATTCTCACTGTGTCTCATCTTCTCTTACACTTTGGATTCCACACTGATTTTCCTACTTAACTTCTTCCAGTATCAAATCTCTTTTCTAATATGTACCATCGATATTTTACTCAAAACACATTTGAACTTCTTATTTTCCTACTAAAAAAATAACCTGTGGTTGCCTATCGCCTACAACAGAAGGTTCAGAACTTAAGAGGTCCATGTTAATCTAATCGCATCATCTTCATCCTGCCTGTTCTCTTCACCACAACCCTATCTTGTGGCTGAACTGAAAGCCTCACTATATCTCTTCTCAAGCCAATGCACTTGTGCATGTAATTCCATTCACTTGGACTCTGTGTATGAGAGGTTGATCATTCTTGGCTCTGTATTCCCATAGCATTTACTTCTGAATAGTGTGCTATAGATGTAAGAGTCAGGGTGCTGAGACCAGGTAGTTTGGGTTCATAGACCAACTACTTAATCACTATGTGACTTTTCTGTTCCTAATTTCCTTATCTATAAAATTGGGATAGTAAGAGTACCTTCCTTGTAGGTTTCTTAAAAATAGAAAGTCAATTCATGTGTAATGCTCATATTAATGTCTGGCACTTAAGAAGCAGATAAAGCATTTGCTGCTACTTCCAAGATCAGGAAAATAATGATATAAAATCCTCCCCTGGAAAAGGGCCGAAAGAATTTATATTTTTTATTTTGTTTGAGAGATTTTTGCTATAGGGTGTGTGCACTCGCCAGAAAAACAGAGAGAGGCAGAGAGATAGAAAGCGAGAAATCACCCCCTAGTGGGGGGATGGCCACACCACAATGCCTTCTTCTCCATTCTCCTCTCAGTATCTTGGGCACACACACACATGTGCCCGGCATGAGTTTAAGCCACTGGGTCCGGGACTTGAACCACATCTGACTACATGGGAGTTTAGCGACAAAACCATTACGCTAACTGCTGGTCCCAAAAGAATTGCTTATTAATATTAGTCAGCATCCCTCATCCGAAAATTCTGGATTTGAAATTCTCCAAAACACAAAAAAGTTTACACACCAATATGTTCCCACAGTGGAAAATCCCTCACCTGGCCTCAGGTGATGAGTCATAGTCAAAATGCGACAAAATATTGTATAAAAATTTACCTTTGGCTGTGAGTATAAGGTATATATGAATTTTCTATTTAGACTTGGGTCCCATCTCTAAGATATTTTATTACATAAATGAAAATGTTCCAAAATCTGAAGAAACTATGAAATCCAAGATACTTTTTTCTAAAATATTTTGGAAAATGGATATGTGTTAGAATCACCTGAGAGATTCATGACCATACCTAAATAAGTGTTTTCCCTATAGAAAGCCTGAATCCAGTTTGCAGACCAATGTGTATTAGCTACTACATGGCATTTCTATTCTCTTCCAAGTTATCTACTAGTTAAAATCCTACCAATATTGGATTGTATTCAAACATACACTGTCCACCAACTTGCAGTCCTTTTATTATCAGTAAAGAATGTGTTCCAACTTTATTTCTGGAAGCATATCATTTTGCCAGTTGAGTGTTTGATAGACAAAGTAGTACCATGAGTACATCTTGAGATGATGTGAATCAGAACTTAGACATAGGTAGCCAGATCCCACATGACCAACTGCAGCTCAAATCCCGACCATGCTGGCTGCCAGGCACTGGATTGCCACATGGCCAACTGTAGTTCGAGTCCTGAACCTGGCGACTTTCTCTCTCTCTCACTCTCATTATGTCCCTCTCTGATCAAATTGAAATAAACAAAGAATAAATAAGTAAAATAAAGTTAAGTAAAATAATTATTTTAAAAATAAATAAATAAATATAGACCTACAGAGTCAGAATCTATTTCTCTCACCTGTCACAATGTGAGTAACATCAAAAGAATTATCATTTAGACTGAGATAATTTAGCAAAATGTTTGCAGACATTCAGTTTTTATGAAACCACTACCGACCTGTTTATTGGATGTTATTTTTTTATTTTGATGACTATGATCCTGAAAAGTCAAGTGTATATTTCAGGATTTCTTAGTAAAACTTACTGCTTAAAGCAACCCTATAGTAAATTAACAAATATTGTATTACATCCTAGCTTATTAATTTCTATTTACTAGAATATTAACATACTAGTTTCTTTGAAGTAGGACACATTTGTATTGGCAATGATACTTTCTAACTCATCAGAAATTTGTGGTTTAGAAAATTGCAGTATTCGTTTATCATGGTAAATGAAAATAAATCTTGGAAAGTACTATTTATTTTTTAGGAGAAAATTAGAATCCTTAAAGTAGAAATTCAACTTGGAAAAAACAATAAGAGCAAATCTATTAGAGGACTATTATCTAAATTTGATTCTCAGAATGAAACTAGATATTTTTACATGAGTTTTTTCTTTCTTTCTTTCTTTTTTAGTTTTATTAGGTTTCAGATTCTCATCATTATAATGAGAAATAATGGATTATTGGATAATGGATTCCCAACCAAGTGTCCCAGCTACACCATGAATACATGCAAGCACACTTGAAATTGAATATATACTATCTAATAGTAACAAGTCTGAAAAATAATAACAAAAATTAATAACCGATGACTTATATTAATGTAGCACCTGAAATGATAACATAGTTGTATAATGAAATACAAGAGCCTTTGGATTTTTAAAGACTGGACACTAATAGTTACTTTTCTACTTAGTGCCTTTTACTTAGTACTATTTGAGAATGAGCAAATCTCCTAGCTGCCAGGTCTTTAGACTTCACATCTATGAAGTAAATATAATACAGAGCTTCTTCGAGGGTCAAAAACTAGTATACACAGACAGCCTTTGGAAACAGTAAAACACGGTACAGACATCAGGGATTACATCAACAGAGATTTCAGAAATTATTCAGAGATCTCAGGGATTATTTCCAAGACGAGCTAAGCATGACAGACATAATTGTCCTTGGTTGGTGCATGAGAAATTGAAATGAGCAACACTAAGTCACTGGTCTAAGGCTGGACCCTGGCTTCGGAGTCCAAATGTGTTACTTTCTGAGCTAACCATGCTATTTCAGGTCTGCGTCAATCTCACAGTATAGGTATCTTAAACTAGAGCCGTATTTTAAAGACTTTAAAATCCTACAATCATGGGGTTATCTTAATAAGAAGTGCTAATAGTAGTAGGTGATGTGTACATTTGTTTTTTCCAATGCAGGTAATGAATTTGGGCATCCCGAGTGGTTAGACTTTCCAAGAAAAGGAAATAATGAGAGTTACCATTATGCCAGAAGGCAGTTTCATTTAACAGATGATGACCTTCTTCGCTACAAGTTTCTAAATAACTTTGACAGGGATATGAATAGATTGGAAGAAAGATGTGGCTGGCTTTCAGCTCCACAGGTAAGCTCTTTACTCTAAATGTTATGTTTTAGTCACCAAGGCTGTACATGCTTAGAATGACAAATTTAAATCGGAATGCAGATCTTTTAAACAGCACTTTATTATTCAACATGTAGTGCCCTGTAACATACCTCAAGTTGTCAAAACATGTCACTGCAGTCTCCACAATAGATAATGAAAATCGTAAACATAATGCCCTGCTTACTTTCATGCTTAGTTTGTTGGTGGTGGTAGTAGTGTTGAAATTTAGTAATATTTATTTCAATTGGTTAAAATAAGTAACAAAAGCTCTACATGGGACCCATTTTGCAACCTGCAGTGGAAACATCTTAATTGTTTAGACCATTTTTCTTTATATAAATAATTATGCTGCCATAAACTACTTTGACAACATGTAGATTTCTTTATTCCTTTTTCCTCCTCTTTACTGGTCTCTAACTTGTCATTTCAATAGATGCCATTATACCTGCATGCTGTTTTGTATTTTTCATGAGCCTGACTCTCCTCTGGAATTAAAGTCTCAGTTTTCAATAAGTTTTAGAAAATGTAATTAACAGGTGCAAATTTTATACAGGCTTTTTTTTTTTCTTTTGGAAAAATTAGCATATAGTATGTATTAGTTATAATCCATTTACTTTATACTGGTGCTGCTGAAATTACTATTGATGTGTTTTTACTTTGGTGTCTATGTAAGATTTTTTTTAATGGGTGAACAAAGGTACTTATATATTCAGTAAGACTGGCTACACGACATGAATGCCCTAATCACGTTTATTAGTAATGCTATTTTCAGAAGACAGAGCAAAATGATGCTCCTATTCAGTGAGAACAGTGTTGAATATCAACAGGGGTGCTATTCATTCTAGAGCCTTAGATTCACATTTGTAAATTACCAAGAGTGGTACTTCTGCTAGACATGGTAATAACTCCTCTCTACACTGAGTCTGGGTGAGGGTGATGTTGAAAAGGCAAAGATTTTTCACAGCCAACTGTAAATATGTAATGTATGAAATAAGAGGTTTTTGGCCAGCCCTGTTGCACAGCAGGGAGTCAGATCCCACATGGCTGTTTTTTCAATTCCTTCACTGGTGGCTTAAAAAAAAAAGCACACTATGAATGCCCCAAATCCTGATGGGACAAAGAAATGAATAAAAAGGGATTGTGGTATGACCACACCCTATTGGGGAGTGCTTTCTCTTTCACTTTCATTCTCTGTCTTTGTTCCAACAAGCACATGCACCTTCTGGCAACAGATTGATCCTTTTGTGGTTCTTAAGCAGGGTGATCAGGTATTCCTACCATTTTGTGAGATGTGTCTCCCTTGAGCCTTGAATGCTGCTAGCACTGTACTCATCTGACATTAAAAAAAAAAGAAAGTTTGCAGATGTAATTACTTTCAAACCTTTTCACTCTCTCTTTTTTAATTATTATAATGGACTTTGAGTTGTCATTGAATCTGACAAAGTCATGTCAGATTCAGTACATTTTAATGTACTACAATTTGGGGCCAGCAGATGGCATCGCAAATATGTCACTGGACTCCCACGTGGCCGACTGCAGTTCAAATCCTGGACCTAGGGACTTGAAACTCATGCCAGGGACATGGGCATGTGTGCCCAAGATCCCAGGAGGAGAATGGAGAAGAGATTGTGGCATGGTCAGCACCCCTGGGGGTTGATTTTTCACTTTCTCTCTCACTGTGTCTGTCTCTGCCTCTCTCCAGTGAGCACATGTGTCCTAAGGCAAAAACCTCTCAAATGAAATAAAATGTATACAGTTTAAAGATAATAGTAGGTTTAGGGATTAGATATAATATCTAAGTTACATTAAATTTTAAAAAGTAATTTTAAGTACCTTACTTCAAATCCAGGGACTAAAACAAAAGTCCTAATAGAAAATTTACATGTAAGTAGATCTAATTTATACACACAAAACATTTTATATATGGTGTAGGTACTATTTTTTACTATTTTATATCACAAAGTTAATCCTCTCTTTTTGCTTTGTTTGTGATTGACAAGTGTCTGTGGAGGTTTTTATACTATTTAGGTGGTTTTTTGAGACTTGTTGGCTTAAAGTCTGATATGTCAAAATTGTAACAAAAATAAAATGTACTATAATTTTTATTTTTGGCTTAATAACTAACAAGACTATTAAGAAAAATGAAAACAACTTTTTTCTTAAATAATTATTTTATTTTAACTTTATTTATTTATTTTAATTTGACCTGAGAGAGTCAGAGACAGAGAGGAGAGGAGAAAGAAAGTGAGAAATCCAGCCACCAGGTCCGGCACTTGAACTACATTGGCCATATGGGAGTCCAGCACCCATAACTACCACACCACCTACTGGTTCCAAAAACGACTTTTTTAAAAAAAGAATTGACTTGCAGCAGCATCTAGGTATTATTTCAATGTATAATATGTATTAATTCTTGCAGGCCTATGTGAGTGAAAAGCATGAGAGCAATAAGATCATCGCTTTTGAGAGAGCAGACCTTCTTTTTATTTTCAACTTCCATCCAAGCAAGAGCTACACTGATTACCGTGTTGGGACGGCATTGCCTGGAAAATATCCTTTTTGCTATCACTTACTATAATAACTGTATGCATTTAATTTTTTACCCTATCATAAAATATCAAAAAGACTAATACTAATCTTGGTACCAGTAGCTTTTAGTTTCCTCATCTGAAAAATAAGGAATTTGAAATAGTTGCTTGAGAAATCTACTCAGCCCAGTTTATACTGAATTATTCCTAAACTTTGTCCTGGCTCTCAGAAGTATGATTCTGAACATTTTAAAAATATTGGGTCATCAGAAAAGTCATGCTGCATTTTTACATAGAAAAACAAAGAAAAATGTCATGATTTTTTTCAATGACCCAACAGTATCGTGGTTTAATAAGCATTCCAGGATATACTTGCTTGTATTGGGTCACTGGAAAAGTCCTGACGTATTTTTCTATGTTTTTCCATGCAAAAATGTGTCATAGCTTTTCTGATGACTCAATAGCTTTCGTTATGAGAATTCTTTAATTGCCTTTGAGGATTTTTTCATTTGCCCTTTTCCATCTAGTGGGAGAGAGCAGATAGTACTAAAGATAGCTTCCTTCTCTTTCCTTTGTCCTTTCTTCTAAAAATCAGGATATAGCTTACTTTTATAGAATTGATAAAGAGGCAAGGAAGAGGAAGTGTGAGCAGTGGAAATAGCAGGGAGGTTATTTTTGATGTTCTCATCAGAGTGTGTGCATATACTCATACTTTTGTTCTTTTCACAGGGTTCATTGAGCACGTTTAGTGAACACTTACATACCAGTCCCTCCTAGATACTACTGATATCAAGTTAGGACTTTCCTGTCAGATTATAGTCAGTGCCCTCATAGAGCTCTTTTTAAGTTTTTTAAAAATATATTAATCAGCATAATCTTGTTTATATTACATTGAATCACATATAACTTTACTGTGTATTACATTTCTTTTTCCAGGAGAAATACCATGCATATTAGTCAATGCAGAGACTTTAAAATCCCCATTTCATCATCCAGTATCTTTTCATTGTTTTTCCTGATCATTATTATTCCAATTATTATTTAAATCATTATTTCTTGTTTTGCTCCCTTAGAGAGCTCTTAAACTAGTGAAGAAGACAAACATTAGTCATTTAAATAATTTAAGTTTGATAATTGATCCTGCTGAGAAATGCAGAATATTTTAAAGATATTATGACTCTTGAGACAAGCAATTAGTCTAATGGCTATGTCTCTGGACTCCCATGTAGTCGACCGCGGATCGAGTCCTGGACCCAGTGGCTTAAACTCACGCCGGGTGCGTGTGCATGTGTGCCCAAGATCCCAAGAGGAGAATGGAGGAGAAGGGATTGTGGCATGGCCATCCCCTCTGGGGGATGATTTCTCGCTTTCTATCTCTCTGTCTCTCTCTGTCTGTCTGGCGAGCGCACGCGCCCTATAGCAAAAAACCTCTCAAAAAAAAAAAAAAGATATTATGACTCTTATGCAATCTATGGAAAAATAAAATTTCATGTTTTCATTCATTTCCTTCATGGATCTGAAAATGGGGCCCAACAACAAACCAACACAATTTTTCAAGCAGCCAATAGAAATAATGTGCTTCTCCCCTGGAGCTTAACAATGATTAACCTCTGCCCTCAGAGTAAGATGCCTGATGCCCCTATGAAGTCCTATGTGTGAGCTCCTGTTCTGCTAAATAATCAAAACCCCTATTCAACTGGTTTAAATAATAAAGAAGATGTAATTGTCACATAAATAACAATTTTAAGTTAGAATATTCCAGCCCTGTGACAATAAGTTCACTGATTCATTCTTTTTCTTTCAATTTTGGAGATGTCAGCAATGTCCTAAAGGTGGCTCTTGTTGTAGTCATAAGACAGATTCATGGGTCTAGTATCAACCACTTTCAAACACAAGAAGACACAGATTTTATTTTTTGAGTCTATTTTCAAGAATGAAATCCCTTTTTGACAAATTTTCTTTCTTATTTATTCCATTGGCCATAATTGGATCTCATACCTCCAAAATAACTTATAGGAAGGAAAATGGTATCACCATGGGTGACTGACTCAGGCACTGTTCCTGAGTCTCAGGAAGTGGACCCCTTGGTGAAGTGGTCATCCAGGCAGAATGTTTCTCGAGCAGTAAGAAAGAAAAGACCAGCACTGGCCAGGAGATGACCTGGAGCATGTGCCACCACCTTGTGCTACACAGTAACATGCACAGTGTGGCAGATGGTCCCTGTCTTCTCTCCACTCAGCCAGCTGCTGTCCCATGTGACATCAGAGCATTTAGTAGAGGAGTCTGCAGCAGTGACTGAGCACTGAAATGTGCCCCCGTAAACACAGAAAATGCTGTGTATTATCTTTCTTTTTATATACAAACAGATCAATGTTTTCTTGGGAAGTACGCTGTTCTGGGAAGTATATGTTCTCACCATCTCTGTGAAGAAATGCAAACACATGTAGAGGCGTACCAACTAGTACATGGCCCGAGGCTAAAATAACGTCCCTAGATTGACTCCCTTTGTACCTGATAATGTAATATACTCAAAGCCAAGCACATTTGCAGAGTACTTAGTTGTCCCTACTGTCTTCGTTGGTGTCTTTGACATTGCTGGGGAAGAAGAGATGTGTAAAACCAAACTACAGGGTAAGATATAATTCAAAAATGAGAAGAGGTGAAAATCATCCATGAGAGAATAGACGACAGGAAAAGAAAAAAGAGAGAGAGTGGCTGATTGATTGATTGATTAAAGAAAGACCATAGGGCCGTCCAGCTACTAGAAAGTATAGGATGTCCTTAGCTGATGAGCACTAGAATGAGTAAGAGGAGAATGATGACTATAGAAAGAAGTACCTGGAATTAGAGCTGAAAACTGTTTGAGATAACATAATAGAAAATGCTAATACAGTATTAATTAGTTTAGACTTTTTCCTATGGTTATATAGTAAGTTGCTGAAGGTTTTTAAACTAGGAAGTTACTTAATAAGAATATATATTTTAGGGAAAGTTCTCATATACCAGTATGTAAGAGAATTTTTATGAGAAGAAAGGTTAGAAGGACAGATATTAATTATGAGAAATTGCAATACCCCTGAAAGATAATTAAGGCATGAACTGAGGTAGTGGCAATAGGATTGAAAAAATATATGAAGTGCTTTCTTGTAAAAAAGAATTTAGAAGCTGTTTGGACAAGGTGGGGGAGAAGAGAAAATGTAGGATTTCACTTGGAACAATAGGGAGAATAGTAATGAGAGCAAAGTAAGAAGTTACCAATTGCAGAAATAGAGAATGCTGGTTTGATTTAGGACTATTGGTAAATGGGAATACATGAAATTTTAACTATTGTATTTTGAAAAAAGAGTCCTGGCTTAAGCTATAGTGAGCTATCTAAAATCTATTCATTTTAATTAACAAAATCATACAGTATTTTTATTAAGTAGAACCTACCAAAAAATTTATTTTGCTAATACAGATTTATAGCCATATATGAAAACCTGACTCCATTTTGATAAACCTCAACAAAGATTAAGATTTTTGAAATTTACTGGTCTAAGTGACTATAGGCATTGGTTACACAGATATTTTCTATTTTAATAAACAAATAATGAATTTTAATAAATAATTAATTAAAATACATACATACATACATACATACAATCAGTGGCTTCTTTCAGAAACTATCCTAATTATAGGTTGTGATGATAAGTTAGTATGGTGGAAAATTAGGTCATCTCTTCATGGAAGTGACAGAGACCTAAGAGAACCTTGCAAAAATATCATTGGCCCGTATTCTACATTTTGTCTTCTAGAGGTGTTTGCCCACTTGAACATTACTTCCTTGTTCTTACTACCTCTCTGATTCTTGTCTTTCTGTGAACAAGAGGTAACTAATTCATATATGTTATTGCTTCCTCTAAGGATATTTATGTTTTAATATGTCTCTCTGAATATTCAAATGTATTCAAGGCCTAACAGGCTAGCTATCTAATAGGAGAATTTTATTATAATGAGAATTTTTTTGTTGTTATTGGATAGGATGGAGCAGGAGAGCATTTCCAGCATTTCTTACTCCACACAGAATTAGCATATGTTCATAACGTCAGCCCTACCTCCAAGACTGAAATCATAGAATCTTAGAGATTTTGAGGGTTCTTGATCTCTACATTCCAGTTCAGTGCAGAAGTCCCATGTGGAAAGTCCTTCACAGTAACCAGCAAATCATTATTAAAATACTTTCTAGTTCTCACTATTTATCAAAGTAAATATTAAAGTTTTCAGTTATTGAAAAATTACCTTAACTGGTAACATATTATTTCTATACTTGGGGTAACAGTTGTTTTTCATACCAACTATTCCCACCGGGAATGTATTCAGCGTGGTCCTCATAGTTCCACCTCACCTTAGTGTTCCGTTGTCCAGACCAAATACTTCTAGTTTTTAAAATTTATTTTCATGATACTTTCCAGAACCATTTTCTATTTTGTCTCATTCATCAAAATGCACCCAGCATTGGGACCAGCAGTTAGCGTAATGGCTATGTCGCTGGACTCCCATGTAGCCCACCATGGTTCAAGTCCTGGACACAGTGGCTTAAATTCATGCCGGGCGCGTATGCATGTGTGCCCAAGATCCCAAGAGGAGAATGGAGAAAAAGGCTGGTGCTTGCCCCTCCCCCCCGGGGGGGGGGGGGGTGTAATTTCTCGCTTTCTGTCTCTCTGTCTCTGGCTTTCTGGTGAGCACACACACCCTATAGCAAAACAAAACAAAACAAAACAAACAAAAAACAAAAAAGGAACTGCTCCCCCCCCGCAAAAAAAAAAAAATGTACCCAGCATTGATAACATTCCTCCAGTGTTCTAGATACGATCTGGGAAGTATGACAGAGTGTCCCAATACCTGTCTTCATTTTGACGCTGCCCTCTTAGTAATATGGTTGCAGTTTCATCAATTTGACTGGCAGTAATCACATTTTCTGCTCACGTTGTATTTATATTCAAAAAATCTCGAATCTTCCCTTATGTGTTCTAATATTACATC